AGTTACCCGCGGGCAAGAGAAGGCTGATTTTGAATGGGCAAAGTTGAGCATGGGCAGTGGGTCATTACCCTGAAATTTTAGCTTCCAAGACTCCGTGGTTCCCGAGATATTAACTTGCCCGTAAAAAACTTTCACAGGCCCGTATGCGTTACCCGTGGGTACGGGGAAGCTGAATTTAAATTTGCTGGGTCACACATGGGTGGGGGACGTTACCCTAAATTTTCAGCTTCCTAGCTTTTGTGGTTCCCGAGTTGAAAGTTGCAGGTGGGGAACGTTCCCCTAAATTTTCAGCTTCCTAGCTTTTGTGGTTCCCGAGTTGAAAGTTGCGGTGGGGAACGTTACCCTAAATTTTCAGCTTCCTAGCTTTTGTGGTTCCCGAGTTGAAAGTTGCGGACCAAGTTGCTGCGGACACACACACACACACACAAACACAAACACACACACAGACAACCCCGTAACAATATGCGTTTTGTACTGCTGTTACACAGCACAAAACGTATAATAAGTAATCTAACGGTTGCTTAGCCTGAATTCTACAGAGTTATTTCAGAATCTAAACATTCACTGCTCATGTACAGTACACCCATATAGCTACCAAAAATTACTTGTTTAAAATTCTGATATTTATGAGGTTTTACTTTTAAATTTATTAAAGGTTTTTTTTTTTGCTCTTATTTCAACATTCCATGCAGGCAACAATCTAATTTTATAGATTTTCCCCTTCCCCGAATCTAAGAAATCAGCTCAAACCCTGATTCGAGGTTTGGAAAAAGTTGCAAAAAAAAGTTTGACAGCAAACTTCGCACAGTTTGACAGCAAACTTCGCAACTTCGCACATGATGGGGAAAATGTTCTCGAAATTTCAACTTATTATTTTTTGCAAATTTGCAATTAATTAACTGAACACAAAAATATGCATATATACATACATGTGCACAGACACATACACACATGCGCATGCAGACGTACACACACACACACACACGCACACACAAATATGCTGATGTCACCTCGGCATAACATAATTCGTTTCCATTTGCATAATATGCAAAAAAAGAAAAAAAAATACACAAAATTAGCAAAGTTACCTTATATCGATGGCAAGCGAGCTCTTTTATTATTCAGTGTAATAATAATCGTAAG